GATCACCTGTGCAAACGTCAGCCGCGGTCAAAATGAAATGCTGTTTTTGCGGAAACGACAGACACCCTCATTTCAAATATCCAATTAAGGACGCAGTTTGCAGTAATTGTCGACATTTCAAGCGGGTCTACAGATCGCTCCCGGGTAAATGGTCAACCTAAGCCACTATGCTTGTGCTCTCAACCACAGTCTCTGCTTCCGCTCCGGCTTGTCTCTCTTACTCATTGGTATAAACCACCGTGAATTAGATCCCCGTTGAAGCTCTACTAGACACCGGAAGCTCTGAAGGTTACATTTCTGAATTTTTCTTAAAACGACACCATCTGTAGGTCATCTAATCATCTAACCCATTCTTGATGGCATCCACAAGATTGGTTAGCCACACAAAAGATCACTGCGTAGTCATCATAGACCTCAAGAACAATTCATACGATAATGTCAAACTCGTTCCTTCCACATTCGTGTGCGGATGTATCATCATCATCATCATCCGAGTCATCATCATCGTACATTTTGAGCTTGACAGCGATCAGTGGAGCTCGCTACACTGTATCTCGCTGTACGATGATGATGATGATGGTCCGTGCTTACGGCACTTTTTCACCCAAGTTCGCCACAAAGTTGTGTTCGACAAGGTTGCTTTCTCTCTGTCTCTATTTCACTTTGTTATAGATTTAATTATTGAAACAGTATTGACTTTCTCCCAGGTGGCAGACTGTCTGATCTGGAGTATGCAGACGATACTAAGTGAAGACCCAGGTAAGTTGCAAGCTTTTCTGGGTAGTTTGAGTGCTAGTGTACCCATGTTCGGTATGCGTTTTGCACCTTCAAAGTGTAAAATGTTGCTAAAAGATTGGGTTGACCCAGTCCCAAACCTCACTCTGACTGGAGTAGTAGTAGAGGAAGTAGACAAATTCTGCCATCTGGGCAGCTATATCTCATCTGGTGGACGCATCACAGATGAAGTGTCGGCGCGCATATAGGAAGCCCTATTGGGGTTTGCCAATTTGACACATCTGTGGCGCCGTCGCGGCATCTGGCTGTCTGTGAAGGGTCGACTGTATGCTGCAGCAGTTTGGCTAGTCCTGCTCTACGGTGCCGAGACTTGGCCATTAAGGGAACAGGATAAAAATAGATTGTCGGTGTTCGAACACCGCTGTCTACGTAGCATTGCACGTGTCTGGTGGGGTAGCCAGACGAGCAATGCTAAGGTTAAGCGTGGATTTTTAGGTAATCGCGGTGGTCCACTGAATCAAATGGTCGACCTGCATAGATTACGTTGGTTGGGGCATGTGTAACGCATGTCACCAGATAGATTACCCCGGCGAGCGTTGCTAACCGAGGCAGGCAGCGATTGGAATTCAGGTCAAGGGTGGTCAAAACAAGACCTGGCATGAGGGTATGAAAACCCTAACCAGGAG